ATTTTATCAACTTAAAAAAAAAGGTTTTAAATAAGAATTGTTTATAAATATTATATCATTATAATTAATTTTTGGTACCAATAAGCGCAATATTAATTTTACGATAAAATAAACTGATTATGCAATTGTGATTCGTTATTAGAGCTTACAATCTTCGTTGCAGATTGGGAAAAACATAATGATTAATAGAATTCAAAAAATGCAATTCTATATTCTTGTTATACTTTTTTTTTTTTTTTTGTCCTCCCCTTCCTCGCCTTTAAGGCTATACGGGGTTTTCCCGGGCCAGGGAGTGTGGGCGGGGATTTAAAAACTCCTCCGGGCACCGGGACGCGAACTCGTGACTATTTTTTTATCCAAGTCTTATGTATCAGGTTGCCGGGCAACGACGGTGCAGTACACACGCGTTAGCCCATTCGGCTACACTCGGCCCACTTATTCTTGTTATACTGAGAACAATAGTCAATGCCCCATATTATGTCACAAATAAGACCTTACACCATGACCTTAACATCCAATTTGTCTTCGACATCATCCCATCCAGATCCTCTAACTTTTACCAGAACCTTATCCATCATCTAAATCCTCTAGCTCAATCCCTATCCAGCTCCCTTCAGCCCTACAATCCTCCTCGAAGGTTAAAACGGCATTGCCCTAGAGATCTCTTGTAAATCTGCTTCTGGAGTCCTGGCAATGGCCTTTTTATTTACTTTCTTCATCAGTATTATTTATTTACTTTTTATATTTATTTCTCTATTATTTGTATATATTGTATGAATGAGAACTTTTAGCCCTAATACTTATAGCCCTCCACCAGTGGCTGATTGTATTATTATTCAATAAATAATTATTTAAAAAAAATTCTTGTAAGGAGCAGATCAAGATAAAAGAGAGAGAGAAAAACTTTTAACGTTAGGGACCATTTTAATGATACTTCAATCATTTAATTAATTTGGTCATTTCCAAAATCTTTGATACGGGATCTGGGAGCCGCCTCTTGCCATCTTCATCACTACCTACCACTTCTTCACTTACCCCATGAACCACTTCTATTTTTTCTAGAAAAACGAAAAGGTTAAGTTAATAACGCCCAGATATCGTGGCCGAGGTGGTATGTAGGTCATGTGCCAGGACAAAAAATATTAATATCTAAATGAAAAATTACTAGTGTTTCTAATCTCAGTTTCAGTTGCTGTCGTTAAAAATATTACAAGTTGGCTAGAGGGACCGAAACTAATCGGTTATCATTGATTAAGAAAGGTATAATATTTAGTGTGACCAGTGCAACCCGCAAGCATGAGATAACAGATACGCGAATAGGAAGGCTGAGAACGCCTAGTAAATATTTGACCGGGCGCCTACAACCTACCCGACAGTCCTTGGACTGACCACTTCTTCCTTTCCGCAATAACTATGATAACGTTGACATATAGGCCACGCTCCCTTTGGAAGGATTTATTTGTGCCTAGATGAAAAGAAAACGAAGCCTAACGTAGTAATTATTTGATCAGACTGATAGTAGCGATGACACAGACCTGGCCCCATTCCAACTTGATGACTTTTCGTGTTTTCTTCTCTCGAGTTGCCAGCTGTAACAGGCAATTAGAGAATGCTCGTAATTAAAATGGACTGGTCGACGGAATTTTGGCACTCACGTTATTTACAACCGGAGCCGAATGTAGATTTTGAACACGCCTTTAAAAAAAACAAAAAAAAAAACATATATTTTCTATTGGATCATAATCTAATAATACTTATTAATCGACAGTAAAAATTAAGTAAAACAATATCAGAGAAAGTCCTGATTTTCGACTCATGTTGACCTTGAACGATTAAAAGAAACCACAGAGGAGCAAGATCTCACATATCAGAAGTTCGACGTTGCGTATTTGATCCCTATCTTAAAGAAAATTAATTTATGAATTCGTCTCCTTTTCTTTCCCCCAAGTTTTATCTGATTACGTATCGGAAAAAAATATGCATCAACTTAGAGTTAACAATATACTTTGTTGGACTGAATTCAATGTAGTGCGTTTGGTGGTAGGAGTAGCGAGAAATTACCTTTTTTTTTCTAACCTGACCTGACCTGAATTTGCCAAAAAGAGAAAAAAAAAATTGTAAAGTCCGTTGAAATTTGTATTCTTTTCTTATAATCAATTAATTACATCCTGAACAAGTAATGTACAGGGGGGTTTCTGAACTTCGTAATAAACAAGCACTAGCGGATCCAGGATTAATTTTTTTTTGGGGGGGCTTCAACCCGAAAGTTTTTTTTTTCATAAAAATAACGATAATTACTTTGGAAAAAAAGAAAGAAACTAACTACCTGTATGAAATGGTGTTTAAGTTATTCCTAAAGCCCTTTTAAATGTAATCACACGCATAATAATACTTTAAGAGATACTTTTTAAATATTTTTTTCGATAAGACATGTTTATATTTTACCATTTTGGGGGAGGGGCTTCAGCCCGAAAGTCCCCTCCCCCCATAGATCCGCCCGTGCAAACAAGCAACATTGACTCCTTTACAAATTCCCGTAAACTAAACTGGTTCTTCCGCTAAGCTCATAGAACTGTAGTGGAGATACCTGATCATATCAACATACTTGTACCTTACATTAAGAGCATCTGTCTTTTATGGAAACACGATTTCAATAGTATTGCGCGTTCATATCTAACTCAGTTCTGGATGGAAGAAGGGATGGATTTTTAATCAAAACGAAAAGGAAGGTGAGAACAGATACTTCTTAAAAGATTCAACAAGCCATGGTGACACATTGATGTCAAAATCGCTCCAACCTAAATCATCCCTTCAACTCCTAACCAATGCTGGTTTCGGAATTCCATCAGATTAACGAAATCTTATTTTGAAGAATTACTTGCATGGATATTATATTAATTTTAAAATAAAATGAAAAGCCGCTGTTATTAATTCGCCATTGGTTTTAATTTATTTCTTGATACTCTTTGCTTTTGATAGCTTAAACTGTACGGAGGCTGCTCTGAGTATCTCAATCAGCTTCATTACCGGCTTGCCTGCCCATTTTTTTTTACGAAAGATAACAAATTTTGAAGGATAGTATAAAAACAATTAAATTCACCAATTTGTTTCTCAATTATTGGCAAGTTGACACTAAGCGATGTTTTCCATTTGAAATGGGCAAAAGGGATACAAGCAACAGATTTCTTTGATGCCAAGCCGCTCGATGTCGCCCTGTATTCTTCAACATGTTGCTTGTGGATGGGACAATGCCGAAAACACAGACATCAACTTAGGAGCATTTTATTTTCACAGCTGTACGTGCTTTGATTTAAAAAAAATGACTTGTCCTGCTGTAATTTGTTGGTTGAGGTTTATTTAGTTCATGCAGATTGGCTTTTCTTAAAGTAGTACGTTGTTTGTTGTATAAATTGCGATTACGAAAGAAAAGATCATACATAACTTAAAATGTCTTCAATATTTTAAAAACTATTCCGATTTGGAATATTATTGAGTACTTCGAGGAGTGATTTTTTATAGATTCAATTACTTAAATGTTTATTAATTCTCTAAATCAAGTATTGTGAGGCTTCAAACTTAGTGTTAATTACGTCTATGCCCTTGATTCAAATTATTTCACTAAGAAATAAATAGCAAAATTATATATTAATGTCAGGACATAAATTACATTGTCACATTTTTTGGGATCTTTTTTTCCTGTAATTTAATAGGTTATTTTTATATGTTACATTTTTAAACTATCATATATTACTTATTTCCGACCATCTTCTTCATTACTTAACACTATCCAATTGACAAAATTATATATACACATACACTCGCACACCTACATCTATATATAGTTGGATATGAATATTTATGAGGATGTTAGGACGGACGACTACATTAAAGATAAAAAAGATCTTCTGATGCCGGCGGAAGTATTCAGTGCTTTCTCTTTCACGATCTAGCAAGCCGTGGTACACAGCTGGGAGGAAGTGTCAACGGCCTTATTTCTGCGACTAACGTCTTACGCTTTTCGCGCTGATCTAAATCAATTCCATTTAAAAATAATTTACAGTTAACATAATTACCTTCAATAATTAATCATTTAAACAAAATAAAAAAACTTCTTCAAAATAGTACTAACATACATTTAAATAAATAATTCATCTACTTATATCTTATTCATCAATTACACAAATGTAAATCAAGCAAGTAATTTTTTAGTAAATTTAATGATGGAAGACAGCTAGTAAACAAAAGTGATTTAATAGTACTTTGTTTAACCATCTTAAATACCTTGTATAACTTCTTTAAATTGAATCATCCAAAACATATTTTTAAAGTAATTATAATATTTTGTAGGAAGTAGCAATAAAACAAATTTAAGTTAAAATACACAGGTGTAAGGATCAGTTGTTGAACTTGAATCTAGCTATATTTTTTTTTCTTTAAGTAAAAAAAGTACTTTTGTTTTCACCAATTCTTATGATTACATATGAAAATAACTTTTAAGAAAAACTCGAATGTAAACAGATTAAAATAGTTTCTTTAAGAGGCAAACAAACAAAAGGTTTCGAGTAAATTGTGGATAATAAAGTGTATGTTAATTAGAAACTATGATCAAACACATTTAAGAAGTGCATATGCCAAACCTTGAAACTGAACATTTTCTATGTAAATAGACGATTCCAATAACAATAACATATTTTAAAGATTTATAAATGGACTGTTGTTACTTAAGAATCATGAGGATGGCAAATAAGCCAAATTCTCAGTCTTTATATGGTATAATAGGTTGCCGACGTTTCGACCTAAGCTAAGGTCATCGAAGCAAGAACTCGTTCATATGATTGCAAATCGTGATAGTTTGGTATCATCATAACAACATATTTTATATGATAGTTTAATATTTCAGTATATAAGAGTCATATAACATATATCAAATAGTTTCTTATGCGTGTTTGGACCATAGTTGTATTAACACGCGGATTGATGAAAAGAAAACTTTTGCTCACCTCTCTCTCAGCTACCGACTGATCCTCGTGGCCCAGTACGTTCGGCATGACGGTGTTGTTGTAACCTAGCTCCTTGCACATGGGGATGTTGATTACCTCGCACTTCTGGGCGACGGCCACCGCCGCGATCACAACGACTGCCGACAACACCCGCACGTCCATCCTCATTGAGTGCCTGTATCAGACTGAAGAACGGCCGGCAAGTTGTGGCCGAGGGGGGTAGGGCAGGAGGGGGCGCGCCTGCGCACAGGTGGAGCCCTTTGATGCCGCCGCCAAGCGTACTTCCGAGTCTCTGTTGTCGACCGGCTATTTATTTCTTCATCTCGTCCGTCTCGGGGCCGGTATAATACCGGCCAAGGAACGTGATTGCATTTTATCTTATTATAGAGGGATAGTTTCTTCTGCGACGTTGACGTGGTCGTAGAAGATCAAGTTCCCAACGAAATATATACCTCGACGGAGTCACTAATAACCAACAGTAATTTTCTGATCATAAATATAAGAATGCTGCTGGAATTTAATAAATATGAACTAGAAATAAATGTTTTATAATGGGGGTTAGCTAATTGAATTTTAACACCGGATTTATCTCAGCGGAATCTTTTGATCCGTGCGTGAAAAAAACTGTTTCTGAGGAACTGAGGAAAAAAACTGTTTCCCGACAAACGGTTTGTGAAGAAGTGATGTAATCGGTATTCACCCTTGATGGCTAGTATTGTTTATCCCAAACTAAGGGTACTTAGATCACTAAGGGTTCCGGTATGTTCCGCCAGGAAAGGGGTCTCTCGAATCCAAAGTCGATCTTCGAATGATATAATATAATTAATGCATGATCTACTAAAGCTATATACAAATACGGATTATGGAGTTAACAGTCCAGTGGTATCTTATTTAAATTTCATTTCGGAGTCCATATCACAAAATTTAGCGTTCTCAATTTTTCGGATCGAAGAATAAATTCAATATTTGTTTTTTATTTACTTATTGAATTATTAACAACATTTTGTCGCTAGGAAATAAGTTAAGATCACATTCATACTATATGTACAAACAAATATAAAATTAACAGATGCAAAATAACAGCTAAATATTAATTAAAAAGTACATACAATAAATTAAATAAAACATCTTAAAAAACAAAACAAAAAACACATATATACACTATTAACAATCAGGCGAAGAAACTCCGAGACAGGCTTGTTTCTCTAACTATGGATAATTATTTAATTGGCCATTAGAAGCAACAAACGTCATAAAATAATATTTTTTTGAATCTGAACAAATATATTTTTTTATAATTAACAGTTTCGTTTTCGTAAACAACCCTTAGGATCACGCAGATATGATTATGCCTTCCTCCCTCTATTGTGGTGTGTCTTGTGTCTATTGTGATGTCTCTCCTAATAATCGCTTGTCTTTCTATGAATCATCCACCATCCCTCTCCCCCCCTCTTCTCCATTACCTCTACCTTCACCATGACCTCCATCTAGTGTTGGCCAAAATCGATCTTGGTCTTCTATTTTACAAGAACAAGACCAACACCGCCTAACTGTTGCAAGACCAAGACCAAGCCTTGTAAAAAAAAAAATAAATAAATCGTTTTTGTGAATAAAAATTAAGGAGAAATAGTTACTAATACTTGACAATTTTAGTTGCTATAGGTTAAGTATCAAGGTTAATATTTGCTGTGCCGAATGGTAAGCGTCTGAAGTTTAATATTTGCTGTGCCGAATGGTAAGCGTCTGAGGGGTAGACCGAAGCGAAGGTGGGAAGATTGCATTAAAGCTGATCTGAAGGGACTGGGTTTGGACGGCGAGCGGTGGAGGGAGCTGTGTAACAAGCGATTGGTGGTGTCGGCATCGAACCTTCGGGTTCGCTAAGCCTTATTATTATTATTATTATTAGGTTAAGTATCGGTATACCCAATATCCTTTTGCATTTAACTTTTCCAATTTTTCATTCGGACTTAGGTTTCTCATATCTGAAGAATTACAGTAATATCTCTATAACAATATGCTTATAGGTAACGGCGAGGGTCTTGCGCAGGAGCAAGGACAAGACCAAGATTGGTCTTTCATTTGGGCTACACTACCTCCATCTTCATCAAATCCAATTATTTGAAATGATGGAAGCCCAATGAACCAAATGATGTTAAAGATTATCTTCTCTTTCAGATGAAAAAAGTAGGCACATCCGCAAGAAATGTCAAAGGAAAAAGTTACGAAGAAAAAGACACTTTATTTCCTTATAACACTAACATAAGCGATATAGTGAACAACTGAAGGCTGATTGGGAAAAACCTGTAGGATCCTTTACTGAATAATTAGTTATATTAACAATAACGCGGGAATGATTATCAGGTAATCATGATTGGAAGACTTAAAGTTTGTGGGGATTTATTAACAGTAAGGTTTAGATATAATCTGCTGTAAAAAAACCTTGATCTTTACATACGGTTTTTTTCACTAACAGTAGCGATATTATTTTAATTTATGTTTTATTATACTTCATGTTCTTCTTTAAAAACACTCAATTTTTACATACGATATTTTGCCCTAACAGTAGCGATTTAGTGAATAACTAAAGTCTGATAGCGAAAAACTTGTAAGATCTTTTACAGAATAATTAGTTATTTTATCTATACATCAGAAATCATTATCAGGCAATCATGATTGGAAGACTTAAAGGTTGTGGCGGTTATTAAAAGTCAGGTTTAGTTATACTCTTCTGTAAAAAAACCTCAAATTACTTTTGTTTATGTTTTATTATGGGGAAAGGAATAGCTCAGTGATAGAGTACTGAGCTTCCAATGCTAAAGGTCCCAGGTTCATAGCAGAATAATTATTTACCCTGTTTCATTAGCTGTGGATCGACCCTGGGTAGGTAGACCCCCCTGGGTCACCCCAGCCTCTATAAAGTGGGTACCTGTAATTAAAATAAGTAATTAAGGGGGAAAACATGGCGGTTGAGCGTGATCTTGGTCAAATCACCCCCCTTGCACAACCGCAGACCAAGAAATAGTGCTTTCCATAAATAGTACTGAACCCAAGACTTTTCATGGGTTGTATTGGTACAGGTGATTTTTTTTTTTGTTTTTTTTGTTATATTATACTTTTTTTATGTCTGATAGTTGTTTTTTGTCAGTACGGTATATCGACATCAAACCCAATAATTTGAAATTTGAAATGATGGAAACCCAATGAACCAAATGTGCCGGAAGATTATCTTCCCCTTCAGATGGAAAAAATAGACACATCCTCCAGAGAAAAATGTCAGAGAAAAATGTTATGAAGAAAAAGAAACTCTATTTGCTAATAACTCAATAAGTGTGCAATTTGTAAGTATGATCACGGGCGGATCTACGGAAGAGGGGAGGGGGCTTTCGGGCTGAAGCCCCCCTCAAAATGGAAAATATAACCATGTTTTATGGGAAAAAAATTTAAAAAATAAGTACTTAAGGAGTAAATTAAACACCATTTCATATAGGTAGTTAGTTTCTTTTTGTTTTTCCAAAGTAATTATCGTTATTTTTATGAAAAAAAAAAAGGTTTCGGGCTGAAGCCCCCCCCAAAATTAAATCCTGGATCCGAATCCGCTGGAAATTAAATCCGCTAGTGAGTGTGATTATTTGTAAGGTTTCTAAAAAACTAAAAACAATCATCGAAATAATTTCATTATTAACAAAGAAGCAGCCTATTGTAATTCGTTTTGAATGAAACACTATCATCGACCGAAGGGAAGAAAATTGATTCTTTAATCCCATAATACATATCATTAACTGATTTCCATATCATTTTGCCATTTTTTTCTATTCAATATACTGTGCGAAACGCGCAGTAACTAGTACTATATTAATTCTATTGATTAACCAAACGTAGAGAGATTTCATTTTTGAGGATTGATTGGTAAGTAGTAGTAATATTGTGGATTGCTACCTCAACCACGACCGCAGAACCGCTTTACTAACCGCTGATCCATCAGTTGGTCCTCCAACACACACCACAACACATAGGAAAAGATTAAGGCGGTCGGTCTAGATTATCTGAGGGGAACTATTGCCAGAAAAGGTTAATATCATTAATATCTTCAACAATTTAAAAGAATCTGGTAATTAGCAAACAAAAGTTTACCGGTCAATTTTGAGTAGAAATTTATTTTTAATTTGTTGCCTCTACCATGTAGTCATTGGCAACAACCTTATTCTTCTAATGTGTCTTTCAATGTAGGTGGCACATCTAATTTTTCCTTGTATTTTTATATTTGAGGGAGCCCTGAATAACATATTAAACATTTCAACTAGTGTTGCCCAAAATCGATCTTGGTCTTGCACTTTGCCAAGGCCGGATAACTGTTAATTATTAAGGCTGTGTAAAAAATTAAGGCACAATAGTTACTAATACGGTCAACTACTAAGTATTAAATATAAAGACACTATTATTAAAAGCCAACGTTTAGACCCGACTTTGCAGATCTTCTTCAGGGAAGTGTGTTTAGCAAGGAATTTCACCTAGAACTGAAACTTCAAAACTCCTTGCTGAACACACGTCCCTGAAGAAGACCTGCAAAGTCGGGTCGAAACGTTGGCTTTTAATAAAATAGTTTTGCCACTATTTAGTCTATTTATCTCCTTCCTTAATAATACAACGGTCAACTACTAAGTATTAAATATAAAGACACTATTATTCCTGTAAACAGTTTTTTAATGTCAATCTGAGAATCGCGTGTATATCATTATCATATTTCTAATTAATCCTTATTCTCACTCATCTCTTTCTATTGCTCGTTTGTTCATCCTTTTCTCTCTTTTTCCACTACAAGAAACTTAATGTAGTTTCTGATTTTTTCTCTGTTCTGGTATTCTTTTTCCGTAATACCAAGTCTTATCATTTCCTATTTCACATGACTGGAGTAGCCTTGTAAAAAAAGTATATTTAAGTCAGAGAAAAGCTATTAACAATGGTAATTAACGTTTCTTAGAACTCTTAAATACATTTTTGGTACTGATTTTTCTGGGAAGAATTTTTCTTTTTTTTATGCCATTTCCTAAACCATTCAAATCTCCTTAAAATTTTTATAATGCCTTTATAAGTAATAAATTAAGTAAAACACCTCAAAAGTTTATATGTTATACCTCCAGTTCTAATTTATGGCGGTCTGGTTTGTATCATTGTAGTT